ACTAACTAACTAACTAACTAACTAACTAACTAACTAACTAACTAACTAACTAACTAACTAACTAACTAACTAACTAACTAACTAACTAACTAACTAACTAACTAACTAACTAACTAACTAACTAACTAACTAACTAACTAACTAACTAACTAACTAACTAACTAACTAACTAACTAACTAACTAACTAACAGCACTGTAAGGATAGTCTAGTTTTAGAACTACGGCAGTAGAGCTACACTGTAACCAGTCCTCTCATAGCAGTACGGTCTATTTCCAGCATTACGGTAGTGGCTCCGTTTCTCAATTACCTGACAAGGATTGTAGTGATGTTTGGGCATGTTAGCGGCGGCAGCTGTATCGGGCTGTTCGGCTCACGGTAAGTATATAAATGGTAATTTTCACGATTCTGACGTTATAGTTATAGTTTATTGATCCCATTGTGTCAGCTAACCCCAATGCTAACTGCCTTTTAGTGATGTAGCACAGAGTCGAATCCATTTTAACAGTGGTCTTAGCTTTTGTGGACCCGACAACCGGAAACTATACGAGAACATTTGTCAGAAAGAAACTGATCAAACTGCAGGAACCAGTTGTGAGCGGTTTTTTTTCGTGTAATACTGTGGTTCGTGTCCACATGTCAAGTGGTTGTAACGTTATATGTTAAAATAAATTCGTTTTTACCCGAAAACATCGCGTCTCTCCCTCACGTTCGCTCGCGTTTACGTCGTCACGTTGTCAGTCAAAACTACAGTTTCATTCACTGACGAAAACGTTACAGACAACAGTGTTATCGTAATTGACGAGAATAACATTTTTAAGAGATACGTGAAACAAACTAGTATTTAAAGAAAATACAAAGCAACATAACACGAAGAAAACACTATAGTTTCAAACACAAAAAAATAGTGACTCCGTAGAAAAAGGAAAATAGATTATTATAGCCTATTATTTAATTTATTGTTATATTTAATCCATGTATTTTTTTAAAACCCTAACCCTCAAATGAAAGTCTGACGTCTAATGCTTCTTCAACAATTCAATAGCTACTCATGTAGCAACATTTCTGTACGTAACAATAACGACTCAAACCAGCCTTGCCAACCACAGGATGAACTAATAGGACCCACTAAACAGTGGTTTTCCACATCAACCCTCCTCTACTGGTGTGGCAGCATTCTTATCCACTGGGCTGAAACGAATGTGATTTGGTTTTGACGTGTCTTTTCTTGCATGGATTTAACAAATATTTCTTTTCGGAGCAAATCATATTGTCCACAGAAATAATATTATTTTTAAAGGGAAAGAAAACAACACGTTTGAACCAAACAACAAGGTGTTTTCTAACATGATTTATTTTTCAATCGTATTCACAATACAACACGTTACTTTTACAGTTTTCTATACTGTAAAGTTTTAAAAAAGTCTTTGACCTTAGTACATTTGAATTTTAAACCTTTGCTGGTGTACAAATCAACCTTTGTTACTGCCCTTTATAAAAGTGAAGTCCAACTTTATGACATGAAATAATTTCAGAAAACCTGTGACAAAGCCTCTCTTTCTTTCTTCAGATATTACTTCTTGGAACCGTTGGCCTCTCCCTCTGCACACAACCACAAACATAAACACTCAGCTTCTATGTTCTGTGGATCTTTAGATGTTGACTGAATGGCAGGACAACATAAATGTCCACGCAGAGCGCTGCTTTCCTTAGTGACTTTGAAACGTCAGCCCACGGCCCTGTCAGTCCCCTCGTGGCGAGCGGTCTTTGGTCAGTACCTGCGATGGTCTTGCACAGTAACTCAGGCCGTCGTCCTGTCCGTGGTAACGTTCTGCATCATTCTCCCTCTGTGCTGCCATCAGCTGCTCTACTCCTACTTCTTCATCAAGTCCTTGTATCTCGAGTCCATGAGTGAGGAGGTGCTGCAGGCCAGTCTCAGCCGAGGTCAGGAGGCCCTACACTTCTGGCAGAGTGCTTCAGCAGTGACGACCTCCTCTAGGTTCTCAGAGATTACCCAGAACCCCGAGCTGCTGGTTACTGTGGTGACAGTTCGGCGGAATGAAGGATGGGACTTCCACTACCTACTGCAGGTGATGTGGACACTGAGCAGCATTGTGGAGAGCTGTGGGGAGCAGCGGTGTGCTGAGGTGCTGGTCTGCGATGTGGACACTGGTCCTCAAGAGAACCAGGATGCCAAGTTACTGGAAGGCCACTTCAGGGTGATCCAGCGCTCCCCCCAGGAGCAGCAGAAGATCCGTGAACAACGAATCAACACCTTTGAGAGGGAGAAAAGAGATTATGTCTTTTGTCTCCAGAAGGGATGGGAGCTGGTAAAGCCCAAAAACATGATCGTCTTAGAAGATGACGCTCTGCCCAGAAGAGATTTTTTTAAAGTTGTCAAGAACCTTTTGTCACGTCGATTCGCCTTTCTAAGTCTTTACATCAAACTCTACCATCCCGAGAGGCTGCAGCGCTACTGGAACCCAGAGCCTTACCGTATCCTGGAGTGGGTGGGGCTTGGTTTGGTTGGAGCAACAGCCCTCCTCCTCAGCTTTCCTTACTGGAATCCCTTCTCCTTCTCCTTCACGCTGTCTGTCAGCCACCTCCTCTTCTTTACCCTTTACTTCATGGCGGTGGCGGAGCTGCTTGGACGGCACTACCTCCTAGAAGTGCGAAGACTTTCGCCACAGCTTTACGCCGTCTCGCCAGCTACTGAGTGCTGCACCCCAGCCATGCTGTACCCTGGGAATGCGTCACTCAGGGTTGCCGAGTACCTCGATGCCTCGTCCTGTGCCAAGGGGAAGGCCAAAGACATGGTTCTGTATCAGATGGCACGGACAATCCCAGGAGAAAGGTCCTACAGTGTGGAACCCAATCTGATCACCCACATCGGGGCCTTTTCTTCTGTAAGGCCCAACCCCTCTAAACCCAAACTCCTCTGACGAATTACGTCAAGACATTTTCTACTTATTCACATTTCATTTTCCAGAACAAATTCTCAGGTGGTTACACGACAAACTCTAGATCCTAAATTTTTTTTACAGAAGTAGGACTGGGGGGAAATAAGAACCCCTAAAAACCTCAATGACCAAGGTGTTTTTTTTACCACCTTATTGTTCATTGTGCAGAGCTGACTGTGCTCTTGCTGTCATGTGCTCTTTTATTGACTTAGCTCACAGCCTGACGCAGTTAAAACAGCTGAACTCTCTGATGACCGTTCTCCTCCTGTTCTTTAAAGCCCACCCCTGAAGGAGGAGAAAACCTGTGGCTGTGATCTTCCCACATTAGCTGTAGAACCTTTTATCTGACAAAAAACCCTGAATCATCCATTAAATGTGTGTCAAAGGAGGGGATTATTTATTTAAACGGATGTAAAACCGGTCTTGGTTCACTGCAGAGTGTCTCGTGCAGTAGGAGAATACCCTGAGGTTGCAATAAGTAGTACTGAAGTATCACCTCCCTGGAGGAGTGTTGCTTGGTAAACACTGGTATTTTTAGTGTGCAGGGATACAAGAACTGCAGCTTTACTTCTTGGTTAGTTTGCGTCCATGAAGTAAATATGAACATAAAACTTAGGACACCAAATAAAACCCGATTAACGTATGTTTGCAGAAATACACACAGTCTAAGAAAGAAGACACACAGAACTACGTGGTCTGTGTGTTTTCTTTCACGTGGTTGTGGTTGTGTTCACCCTCCCTTTCTCTTTTTTTATCTTTATGCTTGAAATTATTTACCCCAGGGCAGATATGAAAGTCTTCTGGATTTACCCAGAAATCTGGATATTTGTTAGAAATCTTTCAAATGTAATTTTGTTTTGTATTATTTATTTTTCGTATTTTTGTGTTATGTTAGATACTGTGCAATGCTATCATTAATTTAAGGTTAAATGAAAAGATCCAATATTGCTGTTTAGTCTACATTTGTGTCTGTGACAGCTGGTCATACTGGTCTGTCACTGATTTACTTCAGTCACAGATGGGTCTCTGCTCTGTGAGTGTCTATCAGTGAGTTTTTTGTATTCATTCTGAACATCAGAGTGAAGTAAAAGATTTCTGCTTTTAACACATGAACTCTTGTCACCAAATCTTATTGGTTTTGTCACTGATGCTGTCTGTTTGTGGGAAAACACAATTATTTTTGTATTTATGTTTATGAAATAAGCCTTTATTTGTACAGATGTGATAATATATTCACTCACATACGCTGTCTGTTTTTGTGTGTATGTATTTACACTATAGTGTACATGTTAGTGTGGTATGGTACCTTATCTGCTGATTTTGTTGATATACTGCTGAGATATTATCTAATGCTGAATGTACTTTTTTTCCGTCAATCCCCAAAGGTTAGTGCTAAAGTTGACTGAACTTACAAATAAAAGCATCGTTGATTATTTAGTTTGTTTTACTTCTAAGACAGCCTATAAAGTGATGCAGTTTATTGTCTGATGTAAAACTTACATTTGGAGTTTAAATGTACTCATAGCAATTCACTTTGGCTGTAGAATAAAAAAAATGCACTATACTTTTATTGGCTGTAGAATAAAAAAAATGCACTATCACAAATTTCTATTTCTGGTGCTGTGTTTTTTAAAAAAAACTTTATGCTATTCCTAAGGAAAGAGAAAATAACTACAAGGTTTTTGCTGCCTGCTGATCACATTTCCTCCTTAGGAAAAAAAATGTTTTGAACCATGATCTTTTAGTGTTGGACCACAGGGTAAAAAAGAGTTCCAGAAACAGGCCACACACTAAAGAGCACCTTTAACTGGAAGGTGGGAGGAGTTGACCTTTACTGATAGGAGGTAAACACACACACAGGTGTGGCAGATTAATCAGATCCCGGACTGAGCTGTGTTACAAAGTCCATGCAGCAACTGACAGGTCAGTGTTTTTAAAGCAAAACACTTTGTAAAAGACTGGAAAAGTTCAGTGGTGATGATTTTTGCAAAGGTAAAGTTGAATGCTTTAACCTTGTCTATTTCTGTCACTAGCAGGACAACATGAAGAATCTGGTTTTAAGATTTGGACTGGTCTGTGTGTTTCTACTGAACCTCCCAGAACAAACACAGGTAAAACGTTTTTTTATATATTTTTCTCTCTTTGACAATTACATAAAACAAGTTTGTGAAGGCCTGTGAATATCCATGCTTTACTTTAACGTCTTGAATTGTCTTATAATTTAGATAGAGTTTATGGTTTGGGAAGTGTCTGTAAAAATGTAAACGTTTCGTATCAGTATTGGTCAAACATTTTTGTAAAATAATTTTTTTAAATTGTATTTTTTCCTGCATGTTTCTCAAAAAATTACGACATTTAGAGAACATTTTTTTTCTACAAAAGTTTCAGTCAGAAGGTGAACTTTTTGTGTCATTTCTGGTCAAAAACTAAAGCTTGATAAAATTTTTTGTAAAATTATTTTTTTAAATTTGATCTTTTCTTGCATGTTTCTCATAAAATTAAGGCATTTAGAGAACATTTTTAGAAATTCTTTTCTATACATCTTTCTGTCAAAATGTGAATTTTGTGTAATTTCCGTTCAAAAACTAAAAACGTTTGACAAATTGTATCCTTTCTTGCATCTTTCCAAGAAAATTAGGGCATTTAGAGAACATCTTTTTAAAAAAAATTTAAATAAATTTTCTGTCAAAATGTAAAATTTATCTGTTATTTTTGGTCAAAAACTATAAGATTTTGAAGAAATGTTTGTAAAATTATTTTTCAAAATTGTACTTTTTTCATAAAATTAGGAAATTTAGGAATATTTTTTAAAATTTTAATTTATGACATTTTTTTGTAATTTTGTAAAATCTTTGGATTTTTTTTACGATGTTAAGGCTATAGTA